TTTTACAATGCCATAGCTCCTCCTATTTATAGGAAAATGGGAGCAATTCTAAATTCATTAAATCCCTCCATTCATGAATTTAATATGTATTCCACTTGCCATCAAACCAATTGCCAATTTGCTTCCATTACTTATTCCATAGTGTTGATGACTCCATTCTCCAAATTCTTCATCTTTTTGTTTCATTGGTTGTTGCATCCATTTGCCTACTAGCATCCAATGATCTTCTTCAACCTTAAGATGAAATCATCATCAATTATGTAATGGGTATGTAAGCAAGTGCAAAAGTGAAAAACAAACCTAATTAACTAAAATTGTAAGAAAATCAATTACTAACAAATATATTTAGGGATAATAAATGTGATAGTTTATATGCTCATCATGCAACATCAGATCCATCTATGAGACCTTCTAGATCATGAGAAATTAGGATAGGTTCAAATTGTATTGTCCAAAGAAGATAATTGGTGGGAGTGAGTTTTAGAGAAAGGAAGTGAGACGGGTTGGGCATTGGAATTGTTTGATTGGGAATAGGAATGGAGTGGGTTGTTGTGTTTGGAATTGTTTGATTAGGAATAGGAATGGAGTTGGTTGTTGTGTTTGGAATGGGTACAGAGGTAGCATCAGAAGAAGCCATAACGGAATAAGGATGTGAGATGGGAAGGCACTTGAGGATCAAAGGCAATCTGATACCATATAAGATTCAGGTTTCCTCACACAACTGTGTTGAGGTTTTCTTCTCTATTTATACACATGATTGTACAGTTACAAATATTCAAATATTGAGCTATTACATATCAAGAGGGGCTGTGATCAAGGGATGGTTACAAAATAGATTAGGATATGGAGCAGCTGAGATCATGGAGATTCTATAACTAATGGAAAAGTAATTGTAGGATATTTACAACTAATATATATGAAAAAGAGATGTATGTGTATTTTCTCATCAGATCCAAAACAAATATACTCCTTTGACACAAAACATATCTGTTCTATGTCTTGCTTTGTCCATCTTTTTTAATTGTGCAATCCTGATGACAGATTAAACAAAAAGTTAATTCAATTTCCTATGCATAAATAACCCATCAAACAGAATAAACAATACAGTGATTTAATGGAATGATCTCTTGCAAAAGTTGAAAAACTTGAGGGTGAATAACTTGAACCATTTTTTACTCAAGCAACATAGCTTTTCAACTTGAGGGTGTAAAAATTCAGTCTCAAGAATTTCGTGCAATTTAATTGACATTATAGTTGGCAAGATTCCAATTATCTCAACAGCCAGGAGATGATTAAAAACAAATAAATCAAAGATTATCACTATTGACATAGTAGGCACATAGCTTTCAATTAATTCCCATTGAATTTTTTGGAGGTTACACAAATGATGTTTGTGGTAGACAACTTGATAGGCCTATATACGAGATCCTATGTTTGAATTTTTCATTTTTGAATATCGCTTGTATAAAAATATAAAGAATTACTATCATATCATTTAAAATCTAAAGATATAACCACCGTTGTCATTCAAAAATAACCTCTATCTGATTATATTGATTTAAAAAAAAAAAGCGCCGGTTTTCACCAACAAACTCTTAGTTTAGTCGGATTTTTATCAAGTTCGTATCCGCTCTCCTTATTAATTAAAAAAAGTTAAATGGACTTTTCATTTTTGTAAGATGGTACTCAATAGGCATGTTCTAGCCCAATTATGCCATTAGGCACATAGCTTTCAATTAATTCCCATTGAATTTTTTGGAGGTTACACAAATGATGTTTGTGGTAGACAACTTGATAGGCGCCTATATACGAGATCCTATGTTTGAATTTTTCATTTTTGAATATCGCTTGTATAAAAATACAAAGAAGTACTATCATATCATTTAAAATCTAAAGATATAACCACCGTTGTCATTTGAAAATAACCTCTATGTGATTATATTGATTTTTAAAAAAAGAGCCAGTTTTCACCAACAAACTCTGAGGGGGTGTATTCAATTAAGATTTTAAAAAAGTTAAATGGACTTTTCATTTTTGTAAGATGGTACTCAATAGGCATGTTCTAGCCCAATTATGCCAGTAGGACTTCACTATCAATTGCAGCCCATATTTTTATCTCCCTTCAAATGCCCAACAAAGGCCTGCATCGCCCAACCGGATCAACGACACTCCATTTGAAGTCGTAATTGGGCCACATGTCCAAGTGTAACCGATGCGCAACATATTTTCCTATTTCCGAAACACACCCTTGAAGAAAAGTAAAATTCCACCGATATCCCTAACCCCCTCATCGGGCTAGGTTAAACGACTTTAAAGTCTAAGTCACTTCTCACACTCAGTTTCTCTCTTCTCTCTCTCTCTCTCCGCCAAAATCGACGATCCAATTCTATTTTTTTTGGCCAGAACAAATCGACGACCCATTTCAAAACCCTGATATTTATATATCGCCCGCACAGAACCCTATGCCCTTTTCCCATCTTTCTACTTAGACGGAAATTTCCCAACCAACCAAAAGTTTTCAGTGTAGTAATTTCCAGGAAATCCAAGACTTGCCCATTTTTCTTTGCCTCAAGCATTAGCTTCCCATATGATCTGTTCATACCTCATGCGTCGAATTTTTCAGTTGAAGAAAGCGTTTGAGATTTCCTTCAGACCCTAGTCTGTGAATTTGAATTTCTGTTTGCGATGAATTCGGGTCCTATCGACATAAGCTCCGACGAAGAATCGGGCCGGAACGAGAAGGAAGACGAGGAAATATACGATTGGATATCGGAACTTATGGACAGCATCGACAACCAAAACGATGACGATTCCGATGATGTTGTGGTGATTGGTGAGGTCAACATCAAGCCCAAGGCCAAGTCTTCAAAACCGACGGCGACAGATGTGGACGACGATTGCGTTGTCTTGGATGGTGACCCGGATAAGCCGGTTTCGGTAGTGGACGATTCGGGTAGCAACTCCGACGAGTTGCTTGTAGTAGGGGAGAAGGGACAGGTATAAAATCAACCGGCTTAATCTTTTAAATGAGAATTTTTAGTGTGTAATGTTTGTTTTTTCCTTGGATGGATTTATATTGGTTGGTTTGTTACTCAAAAGTGGAAGTTAGAGAAAGAAGAATAAATGTTGGACCTTGTTTTTAATTTTGATTAGAGGAGTTATAAGATATTAATTTAACTGAAGGGTAACTGTTGCATTAGGCTGTAAAATAAGCCTTGTAGTTTAATCATTCTTCTACTTGAGCTGAACTATGTTTCGTTTCCTCCTTGTTTTTGCTTTAATTGGTTGCCATGAAGTTATTGCAGACTGATAAGAAAGCAGAACTCTTTCCCAAATTAGATGTTATTGGCATATGCAGAAAGAGGAATAATCTAAGACTCATTTCCCCCTTTTTCTTGTTTACTTTTTCAGTAAGGAAAGATTTTTTATGGATACATCAGCATGAATTAGACATAATTTGATGACTTTGGTCCAATTCTCTGTGAAGCACAACTTTGGTAGTAATTGATGATGTTGTTTTCTGTAATTTTCTGGGGTTTTGTGGTGCGGCAAGGCATCTTGTTGACAGAATAGACACAATGTTTCACAGTGGTGCACAAATCAAGTTGTTAGTTACAATGGAGATGCGTAGTTCTGCCCCACGGTACTGGTTTAGATCTAGAAGGTATGAATAACAGTCACAACCTGATTTGGGGTCCATGGGAGATCTCATATCAAGGGAGGTTTTGTTATTCCTTCCTAAATATCAGTTTCTGTGGTATTTTCTTCAGAAACAGTAGAACTTGGTTATCGTGTTCTTGTTGTTTCACAATGAACAACCCTTTTTATTGTGTTTGATGACCTTGATATTGAAATTCCGAAGGTTTGAAGAAGTTTCCCTTTGATCATGGAAATTTTTAATTTTTAATTATTCCAGATTAGCTTGTCTTTGGTGGCATATGTTTGTTTGGCCACTTAGTCTTTGATAGTCCCTTATCATATTTAAGTTAGACTTATTTTTCAAATGTTGGATCCTAGTAGCAGTTAGTGTCGAATCCAATGTTATTTTGAATTGTTTGGAAAGATGTAGGCTCCCTTTTTGTATTTTTCATCTTTAATTGACATTATTTAATTTGGTTGCAGATAGCATGCAGAGACTACCCTCATCCACGGCATCTTTGTGCCAAGTTTCCTTTCAAAACTACCCTGCATGAGACGCACTGTGACCTTGTAAGTTGACTTATGCAAGCCATGGCTTATATAATTTCAAAGCATATCCTACTTTGTCTAAGGTTGAAGGTTTACTGCTCTGATTTCTATTTTTGCTTACATGCAGTGTCACTGTTATGTTTGTGACTCTCTGGCACCCTGTGTACATTGGGGCACTGGAGTCTCCAACATTGGCCATTGTCATGCCACTGATAAAGAAGAGACGTGGAAAATGTTAAGGAAGAATTCGAAGATAGTGAAAAGTGCTCAATTACCAGCTCCAAAATTGCCTGCAGCTTTGCCTAAACTTAGTCAAGGTCCACCACTTAATATTATTCGGTTGGCACCTAGTTCTATATCACAGAATCAGCTCTCTAGGCCAACTACGATCCGTGCTTGCTCCTCAGCCAGTCGCACTATGCCTAGCGTCAGAAACCCGGGTAGAATCCACCAATCAGAATTTATTTTGTCTAAGAACCGAGCCCATCCATATTCAGTTTCGAAGCAGTCAGTTGGTGCACGCAATAATGTTGGGAGGAACAGAGGTCATAATATTGGTAATTTAGGCCCACAATTTGTCTCTTCTCATCCAATGTTCAAAAGAGTAGGAGCTGTTGGCGGCACCTTGCCAGTAAACCGAACCACATTTGGTTCAGCAAATAACAGTAGTTGTACCAGTCCATCTCAATATGGCAGAAATTCCACTCCCACGGCAGCACCAAGTGACAGAAATCACTTCAGGTGGCAGAATGTTCCTTCTACCGTGCATCAGAACTCCCCCCAGCCCATGGCCACATTCGTTGGAAATACAGTGCCTTCCCAACCCCAAACATGTAGTCCTATGGCGGCCACTATTTTTGATTCAGTTTTGAGCTCAAATTTTCCTGATCAAGGCAATCATAGGCAAAATGATGACCAATATATCTCCCAGTATGGGAATCAAAGTCAGGATGCCAATCCAGGTGGATATCAGTACGGGAATCAAAGTCAGAATTCAAGCCAAAATATCTTTTTGCAAGATAATCTGTGTGCAAGTGTCGCAGATATGGGGTTTTCAGATTGTAACTATAGTTGGGTGGACAATTCCTGTCAAAGCATTCAGCATCCTCCAATTCAGCAGCCTCCTTTTCAGCCGCCGCCAGTTGAAACTTCTCAAATTCAAAGCACCGAGCCTATATATGTGCCATCTCTCGTGAAGGAGCAGTCTAATGAAATTGCTAATGTGAGTTTGGACAGTCAATTTACCTGGCTACTGGAAAACCAGTCTGTTCCAGCAGTAACAAGTGATTCTGTGCCATCTCATCTAAATGCCTTGTCTCCTGAGCCTACTTTTATAGAACCAGGAATGCTTATGTTTGATTTTGAAACCTCTTGGAATGGTCTCACACAGGTGTAGTCTCGACCATCTCTATCCGTGCTTCCCTAAAGACCTGAAGCTTGCATGGGTATAGCAAGCCTTGCTTGTGCTTTCAAATTGAAAGAAGCTATTTAACACAATTTGTGTTTCAGCAAAATGATTATCTGCAGGCTTATGGGTGTAATGAGCTTTGGTCGTGTATAGTCTTATGAAGTCTGAGTGTACAGAGGTATTGTTAGGTGAGATGCTGTATAGAGGCTGGTTGTTTTTCACAATCTTCTCTTATTTTATGAATTCCTTATGGTTAAAATTATGGTGTACATCAGTCCTGCACATTGCTCTTCTAGCAGTTCGGTTTCAAGTAGCTTCATGCTTGGTCATGTTGCCTGTGTAGTTTTGGTTCTTCTGGTGGCACAAATGTATGTTGATATGTGGTCATAAATTATGGTCATTCAATATAGTTGGTTCCCGATTGATTAACCTAAACAAGTTTGACATTGGTTGTTAATATCTATTACAGCAGACTACCAGCAGTAAAAGAATTCAAAGGTTATCAAACAACATCTGCTCCATAAATGTCGGCAGGAGATGACGTGTGAACTTAGCTTTCTCATCGAAATCTTATGTGGTGAAGAGCAAGTTCTATTATTATTTTTTCCTAACAAAACATGTCGGCATATCTAGTATTAGAAACCCAATGAAAATGACGAGTTTATTTCTTTTTGGGTCTAACAAAAAGTCATTATTGGACGAGGATGGTAGCTCAAGTAGTTAAAGGTATTTACTTTTATACCCAATATTTTAGGTTTGTTTTTCTCTTCCCCAATGTCAATTGTATAGTAAGAAAAACCAAAAAAAGTTACTTGGGTTTGTAGCAATGAAGTTGCACATATAGCCCATGGGTAAAGGTTATGACTTCAATTGCGGAGCCAAAGGCCCAAAACAAAACCTACACTAAAATATATCTAATCCAAATGACATAAAAAGCCTATAGGAAAATATAAACTCAGCACAGCAAATCCATTCGCAAATTTTGCTCTGCGTAAGGTTCTGCCATCTGCATATCCCAGCTTCTGCGTAGGTTCTAGCAACTTAAAAATCCATGTCGTCTAAAGCCAAATGTCGTCTAATAAAGTTGTTGATCCCATCATGAGATTTTATGCATTTGCATTTGTACTAAATGTATATAGTTTAATTAATTAATTAACAAATCAACAAGTCTTCAGATCTACCTGTAAATTGTGCCTACCAGTCAATGAGTCAAACCAGAAAATTCATATGAGGAACATGAGGGATTTTGTTGTTGACATTAACAGAAGGATTAAGAGAATCTTAAACGCAATTGGGGTGATGTATCTGCTTTTGATAATGAAGTTCCAGGTATGACATGCCATTTGGATGATGCAGTTGCCAATTGCCAAGAATGTATATGGTTGGTGGACACCCCTGGAGTCTATTATATTATATTTGTGAAGTAATAAATAAACCAGAGTCAAAGGGATCGCGTCATCCTTTGAACGATCCCACCATATCCAAAAGAATACGACAAGTAGAGAGAGAGAGAGAGACAGAGAGAGGTGCTCGTGCTCATGCATGTTATAATTAACAACTTTATTCATTGAAAACAATGCTCATTGAAAATATTCCATTGAATTCTTTTTAGAGCATCTTCAACCGATATATCAAAAGTGCCACATAGATATTTAACAGCTAGAAATAACATCTCACATCACTCCAACTGAATTGTCAAAGCTGATGTGGAATGAAGGTTGGAGGTTCAGCTGTTATTTTTGACATCCCAAAAGCAAGATGTCAAATGAATATTTTATTATTTTTAAAGACAACTGGCTGTTACTTTCATTTATAATTTATAATTTACATTTTTTTTCTTCTTTATCTTTAATGATTTGACTGTTACAATAACTATTTATTTGACATATCGGGTGGAGTGTAAAACTGTGTAAATATCAAATTGCCACATCAGCCATCAAATTTAAATTTGATGTTTAGGATTTGACATCTCCCTTGGAGATGCTCTTAGTTGCGAACACTAGGGACCCTTGTCACGACTCCGTTTGTATCGATCCAGACCCAAACTTTGTCACAGTTGCGGTCCTTTGTTGGACTTGGAGTGCTTTCCACTACAATGATTGCTCGAACATTAGGGTTCTCTCGCTCTATCTTTACGGCTGCAGCTTCCCCAATTTCGCCGATCAACTCGGGCCATGATCTTTTACCCCCTGTAACATTGCAACAAATTAATAAACCAGTAATCAAATAGAATTACTGTTAATCCGACAACTAATTAGCTAGTTATTAGACGTTGATATTCATTATATATATACTGACTTCAGAGTGTGAACTTGGTTCTAGAAGTTTCAAGCATGTACTTATAAGTCAGTGCTGACCTATTTGACTACGTAATAAACCAAAATGTTAACACACACAAAAAACCATCAAAGATAAACAGACAAAAATTCAATCCCTAAAATATATAACACTTTTTTGTCGTCCAAATCAGGGAATTGATTTGATTGTCAGAAACAAGACTAGCCTAGATCTAATATTATTTCATGCTAAAACGTATTTATTTATAAAAACCTGCAATGGACATTACCGACTCTTGGGATACATGGATTGGGGCCGGCAGGTGGAGCCAGAGCTCTATATTCGGGCAAGAAGTAATTATCAGGCGCCTGAAAAGTGGCTGCAAAATCAGAATTAGGCTGCTTCATAGGAGCTGCAGTAGGGTTGGAATTAACCTGCAAAATCAGATTCATGAAGCACAGAAACCCCACAAATTTTAGAGTGGTGTTGAAAACCTGCCCAAAGTTATAAGATATTGCTTTCAAGCTGAAAATAGAGAAGAGAGATGAAATGAGTGTGATTTTTTTGTGGGACGAAATGTTGTAAGGTTTGGATGTGAGGGAACCCAGCAAACAAGTATATATAGAGCGACAGAACCCAACAAATATTTTTTTTTTAATGATACACCTACTCTATTGGTCCAAATTGCATCTAGAAGGCGAACGTTTGCAGACTTATTTAGTTTGCAGACTTATTCAACCTTGTTTCTAAGGCGAACGTTACGTTTTTATCCTAATCCTTATATAATTGTTTACTTACCGACGGATGCAATGTGAACTGGGATACAGTGGCGGATCTGTGTAAAGGGCAGGGTGGTTGCCCGCCCATCCAAAGTTTTTTTTGTTATTTAAAAACCTATATATGTTATAAGGGCAGTCCAAGTTTAAAAACTTAAAAGCTAACCCAATATATCCACGTTACCCATCCAACTTCAAAGTGGTCCCAGCTTTTGTCTTTTCTCTTTTGGCACATCAGCTTTCTTGAGAGAAAGACAGAGAGCGGCGTGAGGAGATGAGGAATAACAAAATTGAAGCTTCCTTTCAAGTTCAACCTAGGTTAATTTTTTAACGAAAATTACAAAAATGCCCTTGCTCCTAACGGGTGTAACGGGTTCACCCGTTTTCGACCCAACACGACCCGTTAGCTTAACGGGTGGCTAACGGGTTCACCCGTTTTCAACCCGACCCATTAAGCTCAACCCAAATACTGATAATTTCGTGCGAATTCGTGTCGTGTTAACGGGTCGTGTGCAATATTGCCAGGTCTATGGGCAGTGGGCAACTTAGCAAAATCTTGTCCTCTCCTTTCTACAAGTAGTAATTTCTAATTCTCTCATTTTCTATATATCTTTAATATATATAATTGTTTGACAGCTGTCAGGAGTTAATTGGTCGGGGATAGATGCTGACTTTGGTATCCCCGTGCCAGGAAAGTGATAGAGAGATGTTATTGTTATCAGTGTTTTCAAAGCATGCGTGGCGTACGTAATGACAGTGATGCAGCGAAAAGCGGAGTTTTTCACGAAGAAGAAGATCAGATATGACCTAATTTCTTTCACTTATCGACACTAGGGGTGGGCACGGTCCGGTTCGGTCCGGTGCAGAGCTCAAACCAGAACCGAAACTGGTACTGTTCATCCAATCCGGTCCGGTTCGGTTTTTAGTAAAAACAGTGGAAAACCGGACCAACCCAAACTGGTTGGCCCGGTCCGGTTTTCCGGTTTGGGCCGGTTTTTTTTTTTTTTTTTGTTTTTTGTTTTTTTGTTTTTGGTAAAAAATCTATTTGTGTTGTGCTTCAATAGCATATAAGATAAAGCCTTGTTTCAGATTTCTGTAAAAATTTGGCCTCAACTTAAATAATTTCTACATGCCAAGCATATGCATTTTAACTTCCAAATACAAAATGTGGCCATCCAATCCAAACATACAAAACATGATTATCCAATCCAAACATACAATCTTAAAAATTATACAACCCAATGTAAAAATCGATAATTAAATTACAAACCAAATTAGAAGTTCGAAATATAAGCCAAAAATTAAAACATAACACCAATGAAGGCTTCACATATTAAATGATCACCGGAACGTAGAAGGACTTGAGTTGGTAGGTGCCGGTAAAATTGTAAGATCTACAAATAAAAACATAAACACATTAAAACATTAGGCAAACATGCAAACTATATATATAATTATAGTATACATCATTAAATCACATAAAACTAAAAACAAATACCTTACTCAATGGATTCATAAAACTAGTTAAATCACATACGGCAGCAATAAACTAATAAAGAGAGAGAGAGAGAGAGAGAGAGAGAGAGAGAGAGAGATTTAACTTAAACTAATACAGCAGCAACATACATACAACATAAACTAATACAGCAGCAATATTATCTAATTCAACAATCACAATATATGTGAGGAAGGCCCTTTGCTAATTCAACAATCACAATATACAGCAGCAATATTATCTAATTCAACAATCACAATATATGTGAGGAAGGCCCTTTGCTAATTCAACAATCACAATATACAGCAGCAATATTATCTAATTCAACAATCACAATATATGTGAGGAAGGCCCTTTGCTAATTCAACAATCACAATATACAGCAGCAATATTATCTAATTCAACAATCACAATATATGTGAGGAAGGCCCTTTGCTAATTCAACAATCACAATATACAGCAGCAATATTATCTAATTCAACAATCACAATATATGTGAGGAAGGCCCTTTGCTAATTCAACAATCACAATATACAGCAGCAATATTATCTAATTCAACAATCACAATATATGTGAGGAAGGCCCTTTGCTAATTCAACAATCACAATATACAGCAGCAATATTATCTAATTCAACAATCACAATATATGTGAGGAAGGCCCTTTGCTAATTCAACAATCACAATATACAGCAGCAATATTATCTAATTCAACAATCACAATATATGTGAGGAAGGCCCTTTGCTAATTCAACAATCACAATATACAGCAGCAATATTATCTAATTCAACAATCACAATATTATCTAATTCAGCAATATTATCTAATTCAACAATCACAACATAAACTAAGTCAGTCTCTAATGCGTACCCTTGCCTTTTTTCAATGTCAATACTCAATATGTGAGGAAGGCCCTTTGCTCATTGCTTCCTCTCAATCACAATATATGTTCCTGAAATTTCAACGCATAACAAATTCAACAATTCAATTTGGTTTCCCTTCAATTCTTAGCAACAGCATGACAGCAAAAAAAAAAGAAAAAAAATTACACAGCAACAGCATGGGAGAGAAATGCCATTGCCATCACACACAAGCCAAAGTCTCCTTATGTAAGCTCATTGAACATATCACATATTAGCACGCAGATACATTATAGTAACTTAGGCAGCTGAACTATGAAACAATTGATTAATGGAAACAATTGCTATATGAAACAGCTGAACT